AAAATTTTTGTTTTTTATAGAGTTGGGGTCTTCCTATATTGTCCAGGCTGATCTGGAACTCCTGGGCTCAAGTGATCTTCCTGCTTGAGCCTCCAAAAGTGCTGGGATTGCTGAGGCGGGAGGATCGCTTGAGCCCAGGAGTTTGCGACCAGGCTGGGTAACATAATGAGAACCTGCCTTTAGAAAACATTTTAAAAATTAGGTGGGCGTGTTGGTGCACGCCTGTATTCCCAGCTGCTCAGGAAGCTGAGGTAGGAGGATCACTTGAGCCCAGGAGGTTGAGGCTTCAGTGAGCCATGATTGCACAGTTCCACTCCAAAACCTGGGTTATAAAGCAAGACCCTGTCTCAAATAAATAAAAATAAAATATAACTATTTTAAAACTTTTTGAAGGGAAATTTTAAAACACATGCTATAGAGATTATATAATGAACTCTTATGTACCTATCACCTAGATACAACTATTAACTCTGCCATTTTCTTTCTTTTTTCTTTTTTTGAGACAGAGTCTCGCTCTGTCACCCAGGCTGGAGTGCAGTGACGCGATCTCAGCTCACTGCAACTCCGCCTCCCAGGTTTACGCCATTCTCCTCCCTCAGCCTCCCGAGTAGCTGGGATTACAGGCGCCCACCACCACGCCTAGCTACATTTTTTTTGTTGTTTGTTTGTTTGTTTTGAGACGGAGTCCTGCTCTGTCACCCAGGCTGGAGTACAGTGGTATAATCTCAGCTCACTGCAACCTCAGCCTCCCGGGTTCAAGCGATTCTCCTGCCTCAACCTCCTGAGTAACTGGGATTACAGGCGCAGGCCACCACGCCTGGCTAATTTTTGTATTTTTATTAGAGATGGGGTTTCACCATGTTGGTTAGGCTGGTCTCGAACTCCTGACCTCGTGATCCGCCCACCTCGGCCTCCCAAAGTGCTGGGATTACAGGCGTGAGCCACCGCACCCAGACTAATTTTTTGTATTTTTAGTAGAGATAGATTTTATCTGTATTAGCAAGGATGGTCTCGATCTCCTGACCTTGTGATCCACCCACCTTGGCCTCCCAAAGTGCTGGGATCACAGGCATGAGCCACCGCACTTGGCCAACGCTGCCATTTTCATTTATCCAATCCCCAATTTTTATTCAATTAAGTTTAAAATGAAAATTCTTTTTTTTTTTTTTTTTTTTGAGACAGAGTCTGACTCTGTTGCCCAGGCTTGAGTGCAGTGGCACAATCTCAACTCACTGCAACCTCCACCTCCTGGGTTCAAGTGATTCTCCTACCTCAGCCTCCTGAGTAGCTGGGACTACAGGCCTGCGCCACCACATCTGGCTAACTTTTTATATTTTTAGTAGAGACCGGGTTTCACCATATTGGCCAGGCTGGTCTCGAACTCCTGACTTTGTGATCCGCTCGCCTCGGCCTCCCAAAGTACTGGGATTACAGGCGTGAGCCACAGTCCCTGGCCTAAAATGAAAATTCTAAGTGATAATGTGTTATAGGTTAATTGGCAATGTTGGTGTTTTTTCTTAGTGATATGTAAAATAACAATTCATGTTTATAATCACTGGCATCATATATTCTATGAAATGTGTATGAAGGGTATATTGTTCAATGGTAACCGTGTCAATTTTCTGATCTTATCTGTTACTTACTGAGCCATCTTTTTAGTAAAACTTTCTTCCTTAGCTTTAATATGTTCTATTCAGTGAGGCACTAAATATGGGTAATTTTGTGTTTTTGTTTTTGTTTTTGTTTTTCTAGAGATTCCAGAGAGTGACATGGTACCAGGAACTATTTTGGTGACAGAAGAAGAACTTAGTAGATGCATTGAGGATGTGTTTAAGGTTGGTAATCTGAGCCACTAATGTTTTTATTGCCTTCTTATTTAAAAATTTTTTAAAAATTTTTTCTTTTTTTGTAAAGATGGGGATCTCTCCACATTGCCCATTCTGGTCTTGAACTCCTGGCCTCAAGCGATCCTCCTTCCTCAGTCTCCCAAAGTGCTGGGATTACAGGTGTGAGCCACTGCTCCCAGCCTTTTAAAATAATTTTACCTTTTAATTGGCACTTGAAGCATTGGAATAACTAATCTAAAGCTCCAAGCTGTCAGAATCTTTTCACTATGAAAACCGGAAACTATAAGCTGACCTTTTTTAGTCTTTTGTTGTTGTTTTTCCTTTTTGTGGAGAATGAGGTCTCGCTGTATTGTCCAGGCAGGTCTCAAACTCCTGGGCTCAAGCTATCCTCTTGCCTCTGCCCCCTTAAGAGCTGGGATTACAGACGTGAGCCACTGTGTCTGGCGAGCTGACCTTTTTAAGTGAAAAAACTGATATATTTTTGAAACTCTGTTAATTGCATCATTTATTCTAAATGTTGAAATAGTTTAGATTTTCTGACTGGCAAATGCCACTGATGAAAGCATGTCTTTTGAAGAAATTGACACGGAGCGGGGCATGGTAGCTCACACCTGTAATCCCAGCACTTTGGGAGGTTGAGGAGGGTGGATCACCTGAGGCCAGCAGTTCAAGACCAGCCTGGCCAATATGGCAAAACCCCCTCTCTACTAAAACTACAAGAATTAGCCGGGCGTGGTAGCATGCACCTGTAATCCCAGCTACTTAGGAGGCTGAGACAGGAGAATCGCTTGATCCCAGGAGGCAGAGGTTGCAGTGAGCCAATATTGTGCAACTGCACTCCAGCCTGGGATAGAGCGAGACTCTGTCTCCAAACAAACAAACAAAAAAAGAAATTGACGGGTGTTTTCAGTATTCTAGCCTTCCTAAAAGTGTATGATAATTGAATCTACTTTATAACTTTTGATAGTAATCACTGTCATGACAAATTAAGTCTGAATAAATGATTCCTGCAAATGACTACATAAATATATAACAAGAGTGAAAACTGCTTTTCTATTCATAGGAAGAAAAAAAATGAATGAAAACTAAGAATCTAAGTGTTATGTTCTTTATTATCACAACCTTATAAATATATGTGGTATATGCTTTTGGAAAACAAATGAAATTCACTGTGTTATGGCTAGATGGAATTAGGATAAATATTCTTTAAAGTTTATTTTAGGCCCAGTGTGGTGGCTTATGCCTATAATTCCAGCACTTTGGGAGGCGAAGGCAGTAGGATTGCTTGAGGGTAGGAGTTCTAGACCAGCCTGGTCAATATAGTGAGACCCGATCTCTATAAAAAATAAAAATAATAAATAAGGTTTATTTTAATATATTTATAATAATTTACTGCTGAACACTTTTACATTAGAAAACAGCTTTCAAAACTGTATTTCATGTGAAAAAGGTACAGCTGCTTTGGAAAATAGTTTGACATTTCCTCAAAAAGTTAAACATGGAGTTATCATATGACCCAGCAATTCCACTACTAGGTATATTCCCAAGAGAAATGAAAACATGTTCATATAGGCTGGGCGCGGTGGCTCATGCCTGTAGTCCCAGCACTTTGGGAGGCCGAGGCAGGTGGATCATGAGGTCAGGAGATCGAGACCATCCTGGTTAACCCAGTGAAACCCCGTCTCTACTAAAAATACAAAAAAATTAGCCAGGTGTGGTGGCGGGTACCTGTAGTCACAGCTACTTGGGAGGCTGAGGCAGGAGAATGGCGTGAACCTGGGAGGTGGAGCTTGCAGTGAGCCAAGGTTGTGCCACTGCACTCCAGCCTGGGTGACAGAGCGAGATTCCGTCTCAAACAGAAAAAAAAGAAAACATGTTCATATGAAAACCTGTACGTGAATTTAGTAGGTAGGACAGGGAGCAATTACAAATAGCACAAGGGATCTTTTGATGAAGGAAAGATTCCAAAATTGTATTGTTGTGATGGTTTTGCAAATCTGTAAATTTACTAAAATTCACTGAACTGTATATTTAAAATAAATGGTTTTATGGTTTTTAAAGTATACTTCAATAAACCAGTTTTATTAAAAAAAAAAAAAAAGACTTGGCACGGTGGCTCACGCCTGTAATCCCAACACTTTGGGAGGCCAAGATGGGCGGATCATGAGGTCAGTAGATCAAGACCATCCTGGCTAACATGGTGAAACCCCGTCTCTACTAAAAATACAAAAAATTCGCCGAATGTTGTGGCACGCACCTGTAGTCCCAGCTACTCAGGAGGCTGAGGCAGGAGAATCACTTGAACCTGGGAGGCAGAGGTTGCAGTGAGCCGAGATTGTGCCACTGTACTCCAGCCTGGGTGACAGAGTGAGACTCTGTCTCAAAATAAATAAATAAAAATACAAAGATTAGCTGAATGTGATGGCACATGCCTGTAATCCTAGTTACTCTTGAGGCTGAGGCAGAAGTATCATTTGCACCTGGGAGATGGAAGTCACAGTAAGCTGAGATCGCACCACTGCACTCCAGCCTGGGCAATAGAGCAAGACGCTGCCTCAAAAAACGAAAAGATAAAAAATAAAAATAAAGTGTACAGGCACGCCTGTAATCCCAGCACTTTGGGAGGCCAAGGTGGGTGAATTACCTAAGGTAAGGAGTTCGAGACCAGCGTGGCCAACGAAGCGAAACCCTGTCTCTACTAAGAATACAAAAATTAGCTGGGCATGGTGGTGGGCGCCTGTAATCCCAGCTCCCTGGGAGGCTGAGGCAGGAAAAGCATTTGAACCCGGGAGGTTGTGGTCAACCGAGATCGCACCACTGCACTCTGGCTGAGTGACAGAGCAAGACTCTCTCTCAAAATAAATAAATAAATAAATAAATAAATAAATAAATAAATAAATAAGTAAAGGTGCAGATCAATGGCTTTTATGTATATTCGTAGGTATGTACAACTGTCATCACGATCGTCTTTAGAACTTTTTATTCTCAAAAAAGAAAACCCTGGCCGGGCACAATGGCTCATGCCTGTAATCTCAGCACTTTAGGATGCCCAGGCAGGAGGATCCCTGAGGTCAGGAGTTCGAGACCAGCCTGACCAACATGACAAAATCCCGTCTCTATTAAAAATATAAAAATTAGCTGGACGTGGTGGCGCACGCCTGTAATCCCAGCTACTTGGGAGGCTGAGGCAGGAGAATCGCTTGAACCTGGGAGGCAGAGGTTGCAGTGAGCCGAGATCACGCCACTACACTCCAGCCTGGGTGACAGCGCAAGACTCTGTCTCACAAACAAAAAAAAAAAAAAAGAAAGAAAGAAAGAAAAGAACCCTCCCCACACCACTTAGCCATCACTCTGAAATCTCTCCACCATCAATCCCCCGTCCCCTATAAATAGACAACCACTAACCTGTATTCTCTCTCTCAAGTTTTGCCTATTCTGTACATTTCATATAAATGGAATTGTACAACATGGTTTTTTTTGTGATTGGCTTCTTTCACTTAGCATGATATTATCACATGGAGCCATACTTCATTTCTTTTCATTGCCAAATGGTGTTCTCTTGTATTAACATGCTTCATTTTATCTGTTCATCAGTAAATGGACATTTAGGTTGTTTCCATAATAACCATAATAACATTTTGGCTATTATGAATAATGCTGCTATGGACATTTATGTATACATTATTGTGTATATTTATGTGTTCATTTCTTTTTGGTATATACCTAGTAATAGAATTGCTGGATAATATAGTAACTCTATGTTTAACTGTTTGAGGCACTTCTAGACTGTTGTCCAAAGTGACTGCACCATTTTACATTCCCATCAGCAGTACATGAGGGTATAAAGTAAATTACATTCTTTCAGATAAGAAGGCAGATAGTTTTGTTTTGCTTTAAGCTTTCTGCATGATACTAGTAGATTCACAGAGAGAAAATGCAAACTCATTCTCCATAGCACTCACTTCATTTCTTTTTTTTTGTTTTTGAGACAGAGTCTCACTCTGTTACCCAGGCTAGAGCGTAGTGGCATGACCTTGGCTGACTGCAACTTACGCCTCCCAGGTTCAAGCGATTCTCTTGCTTCAGCCTCCGCAGTAGCTGGAATTACAGGCACCCACCACCACACTGAGCTAATTTTTGTATTTTCAGTAGAGACAGGGTTTCACCATGTTTGCCAAGCTGGTCTCAAACTCCTGACCTCAAGCAATCCGCCTGCCTTGGCCTCCCAAAGTGCTGGGATTACAGGCATAAGCTACCGTGCCTGGCCTCACTCACTTTATTTGTAAAGTGGAATGTTTACTACCCTTTTATTTATTTTCACTATTTTTAAAAATAAAGTCTACCCTTTAAGGGTTGACCTGGCACACAAATATGGAATCAGATTGCTCAGAGATTGAAAGATGACATGGTAACTATGTGAATATAATGCTGTTTTTATTTTTTAATGCCTCATGGATAGACTCCTGAAAAGAGCGGTCTTCTAGGCAAAGACTTTCAGATTATGGAGAGATAAGAAATTACTAGAGCAGTCTAGAAAGCAAATGTTCTAAATTAGAGAACAGTGGCCTACTAACTTTCAGAAAGACCATGTCCCATCCAAGAAATAGCATGATGAAAAACTGCCAAGTGGTTGGGTTTAGAATGTTGGAAAGACTTGAAAGTACTGTCAGGATAGGGGTAAGACTAATTGTGACTAAATTTTGGTGGAAACCCCTTATAATATGCCTTGGAAGTCAGTAAACTTAGAGGGAGAAAAAAAAGCAAACCGAGTATTTCTTTCTAGCAAGGGAGTTATCCTCTAAAAAACAGAGAGATCTGGACATAATGAATCCTGCCATGTCTCCTATTCTTGGTCCCCAAAAAGGAGGGAGGAAATCTTCATAGTTTGGTCAACAGTTTGGCGAATTTAAAGCCCCCTGGAGAGGCAAGCAAACCATTAGTTTTCTGTAGACACTTGATTATGCACCAAGGATTGGCACTGTCGTGAA